TGTGGATATAGAATTATAGTTATACTAATTACAACGGAAATTGTATAGTGTCTGCTGTATCTTATGCCTTTGATAAAGATCGCGCTGTTGATAACATCTAAGAATTAAATTCTATTTCGCATCTCGTGTATAAGACACGTAAAATAAATAAGTTTGTTAAAAATGGTAATTGCTGCACAATTGAGTTCCTGTTTTATATTTACATTTTCAAGAATCTGTTGTTTCCTGTACGATCATTCCTGTTTCATTGCCGTTCCGTTAATTTTTTACTACTATTGAATGTATATACGATAAAAATGTTCACGGGTATGCATAAAAATGTGGTAGAGGATTTTGGTGCGATTTTACTAGGGTTATAACTCTATAGGAGATATTCCATAAATATGGTATACCATTTGCAGTTCGGACGTCACGGTGCTTCATCTTTCGATATGCGTACATCATAATTAGCTGCTACACTAAATAGATTCATTTTGGCAAGTTGTATTTGGAAATGTGATCACACCAAGCGTTCCTTGTTTACGACATTCACAAAGATATACAAAGTTTGTGTTCGAGATATTCGAATTACACTGGCAATGGTATGCATTTATCTCTGCTTATTTATCTTATCAGCACTTTGATTTCTGTGTATTTGCGCTTATCTTTTATAAGTGGCATCAAGAGAATGACACAACTTGTGTTTTCAAGTTATCAAATGCTCGTTATTTATAGTTTTCCTTTAATATATCACTCCAATTGATCATTTCATGTATTCATATACTAACTTTCGTTACTTTGATTTCTATATTTCATTGCAGTTGCTTCATTTCAAAGGGTGCGTGAGGCTAAACTAGTTGTTTGTTTATAATTTAGATTTCATTGTATGCACAATTTAATTACTCAGGATATGATACTAAATACCTGAAATTCATCCTGTGGGCTTTATTCTCATGATCTTACTTTTAGTTTGAAAGATCCTGCTATTAATATTTCGTTACTCTTATTAGCTTATATTTACTACGTCAACTTGCAAAGAAAATTGTTGCTAGATTACAGCTAACATCATTGATAATTAAGTCATTAATAAGGAATGATTAGAATTGCTTTTTTGTCAATTTTCACTCCCGGATAGTAAATAAGAATCTTATTTTTGTCATAGAATTTGATTTAAGATATAAAGCATGTTATAGGAGATGCTTTTTAAACAACAATAACAATACTTGTTGGTCACTTTTTTGTTTTTTTTTGTTTTCATCATTTCGATTTACATGCTCGATGACGTGGACCTTCACCACATTTCCAGCTATCGTCATCCTTACAGTCCGGACCTGTCACAAAAATTGTAGTTTGGGTTGACCTGTGTAAGCCTATCTGCTTCGATGGGCTTTCGATCCATAAAATGACATGAACCTGATATTGACATTGCAATAGTCTGCGCTTTTATTGCTTCGTTAATTATGATTTTGAATTGTTCTTACTTATAGCAAGCTAGAAGGTTTAGACACGAATGGTCATTTAATATTATTATCTAATGGATCTTAATTAATGGTTTATGCTCATTTATTTAGTTATATATCTTTTATTCATTTAAGCTAGAATCCGTTGTATGTATCGTACATTTCGAAATTAGGTCAATAAGCAATCTTTAAAGATGACAAACAATCTGAAGTGATTTTGCAGCTAAAAACCGTGCTACAAGTGATTTAATATATGAAGTTACATTAATGTCAGATTAGAATTGTAAATAGTATGTTCATAGGTGGCGAATGATGAATATATACTGCAAACTATTTATAGGATTGTTTGATTCGTAGTCGTAAGGTATGTTACAATAAGATTGAATCTTCTTAAGGACATGTCTGGAACAAAGTTGTGTACCTTAGTAAATGACTGTGGATATATCTGCATTCTGGTTAAAGTGGGTATTGTTGCATTATTGTTCTTTGGTAGGTCATGTTAAGGAACAGGATATTTTTATATTTGGCGTATTTTCTTTCATATCTTGTGTTGTATGTTTGTTAGTCTTGTTGTTCGGTTATTAATCTAATTTATGTTATTTTTATTTATTTCATATTTGATAATTTATTATCATATTATTATTATATTTTTGTTTATTAATTTAATTTCATAGATTTTTACTTACAGTTATTTTTTTTCTTTCTGTAGAGACGTGATGAGTTTCATACAAATCTCCGGTAACTTCTAGGTCTTCTTTAATTTATCTCACGAACAGAGTGTTGTTGTTAATACACTTCATAATTCATATGTTTTATTGTCATTGCTAAAAAGATGATTTGCTAAAATTGATTTGTTAATTGTTTTGAATTTTCGAATTGTTACTTCATGTCACTTTAGATACTTCGAAACTTATGAAACCTGTGTCCTTCAGTTCGTAACACATTGTATTAATGTTTCGTTTAAAATTTGAGAAGCATTACCTTTCTCAACATTCTGTCATGGTTTTATGGCTGAGATGTTAGATTGTATTTAGAATAGAAGAAACTACTAAAACTCTCCAAATCTTATATGGTTTTTGTATGCCTTAACTGATGGTTTTGTACTGCTTGCCAATTTTGTTACTATATTTTTGTACACACGACGAGCGTCGCATAGCAACGCTGGTGCTATACTTCCCTGATTAATGTGTTAAACTGTAATTTAATATGTTTTTTTATTGATTAATCTGCTAGTACAGGTGTACAATTTGATGTGTTTTCGTTGGTAGTATATTGGTTTTAAACGTGTATTATATTGACTGTAAACAGAAACTATTCTTCTCACCCTCTAATTTAAATGAATTTATGTCGACGCACAACAAAACTGATGGAATATTTGGGATCTTAACCACACATTAATTAAAACTGAGAGAATTGACGTTCCATATACCTAAATTAAAAATAATGCACCAGACCACATTATCTGTTGAAAATTCTTATATACTAAAATTCTAGATTTGGAAATAATGTGGAGGAGGTCGCGTCATATAACCAAGCTCTGCTAGATTCATATTCATACGGTGGTCTTATAATCACACTTATAGAATACTATTCCATCGCTAACAATCGGACACTTAAGCCATTTTATCGATATAGGATAAATGCTGAGAAAAAATTCTGAACATAGAACAAATCGGGGTGTATGTACGTTCTTATTTGAAAGGATTGTGTCACTGTGATCATCTTATTAAAAAATAGAAGATTATGTAGATATAAGATAGTCCAAAGGGAATTTAAGTGTGTCATTGTGATTGTGACACATTTGGGAGTGAGTGCCACTCTTGTTAATCCTATACATATATATAAGTGTGATAAATAGGTACTCAATCTCGATCTTGTTGCTCTACTTGTATTGAACTTATAATGGAGTATTAATTATTATTTTATTTCATTGATATGGTTCGAAGTCATATCGGATAGCTCTTTGTACCAAGGAGATTGTCTCATTCGTTATGGCAGCTGACCTCGGTTTTGGGTGATAATCTTATGACGCTTTGTCCGATCCTAAGCGGGGTTATTATCCATTTCTTCTAGTTAATTTTTAAATTGAGTACTTATATTGTAATACATGCAGTGTCTCGCTATTATAGAATTAGTACTCGATGTCTAACAACTGCTACACGTACTGTACTCTCGACCCCCTCTATTTGAGATACCATTCAAAATCCTGGTACTTTTACGTAGTACATTAGGTCAGACAGTTGTTTCACATAGTTATTTTTTTTAAATATATGATATAACATAGTTGGATAAGTCCAATATACACAGGGACCCAGCCTATCATGGACACCGGACTCGCTCGGCCTGTTGCTAGTTCAGGTTTGACTCGGGGGATGGGGCGGTGTGACAGCTTTGATAAATCTAGCGGATTCTTTCGTCATTATAAACAGACTTGATATTACAGGATTTCCTGAGCAGTGATTTTACAGACTTTGATAGGTCTTTTGCTGACCTAAGTCTTGACTAGCTGCTAGAGGAACCTTGTCCAAGGGAGATGATTATTATGATCATCATCATGTTATCCCGGTTTTTGCAGTCGCATAGCTGAAGTGCGACGCAATAATCATGCTATTCTTTATGTCATACTTGTGCTAATTTTGTTTGTGCTGTTTTGTATACACTATATTACTTAGTAAACGCTATCTTCTTATCACATTCATTGGTTCAATTCTAGTTGTGATTCATTTGAATCAGTATAAGGTTTTGGATCTTTATATCGTCTGTTTAGTTGCATGATTGTTTGTTTATTGTTATTTAGAGTGTAATGTATGACGTATAAGGACCTGATTGAACCTTAACCGATTGCGGTTTGTCTGAATTCTTTATATTTTATGTATTATTTACAATGTAGCCGTTGTTATAATTTCTTATTTAATAATTATACTTTTGAGTACCGGTGAATATGAAACTGGGAAAGCTTTTTAACCGTGTGAATTAAGGAACGAATTATTGTGCTAAGCTTGCATGTTGGTGTATCTGCTTTATATTTAATATTTTTTGGTCTCTGTCTGAATCTAAATGTATAAAAAAGTTGATGACCCGTATCTCTAGTTCCCGGAATAATTATGATGTTAGTTATCTACCCGGACCTAAAGATGGGCTCATTCATATAGATATGTGACTAAGTCTTATGTTTGACCATAATTAGTCTTGATACATATAGCACTGATCTGCATAAGAACATCAATGATTTGTTCATTTTTTTTATTTGAGTTTTATCTATGTGACAAAACGCTTTGTCTTTACTGAAGGGAATAAATCAAGGATAGACCAGATTTGGTACTAAAATCAGCCAATTAAAGTAATAGGAACTCTGTGTGCTTTACGTTTGTACTTCAAAACTCGAATTTTTCAAATCATGTTATATGTTATAGAAAAGAAGCTTTTTTGTTTATTAAGTTTATTATGAGAAAAAAATAACATGAAAATCAGCCAAGACCCAAGCGTATACAATGATAAAGTGTTATAGAATAAAATTAAGAAGTATTACGAAAATACATATCTTTCACAGTGTCTAACTGGTTATATAAATGTTCGACCTACAAATGATTTAATATCAACTATAGCCGGCAGCACCGGATATATGGCAAGTTTTGCAGCACATCTTCAAGAAATATTCTCTGTCACAAAATCGAAACTTCAACACCAGCGGACAATACGCAAAATTATAGTTGTCAATGCATTCTGAAATCATAAGAAGATATCACATGCTATTTGTGTACAATTCAAATAAAAGCAGCACGCCTCCAGATTCGTGCTTATTTTCATGAAAATTTTGAAAATATGTCAAAATATGCCAAAAAAAACACTCTTACTGCGTTCCTCCTTACTGTCCTAGTAATGCAGTAGAAATAAAGTGAAAAATACTGCAAAATCGGTCATAAATCGCACATAACATGGACGTAATTACTTTTATATTGAATATTTTTAGGCCTTCTTTTCTTAAAGTGACATTATGCCCATTCAGGGGTATATAGTAAGTGAACGGGTGAAGACCAAAATAAGTTTTCATTTTACCATAATTCCTTTTAATTTAATAATTAAGTTCACATAAACAATAAATAAAACGCACTGATCCAAACGAAATTTCTGGAAATATCCATTAGAATTTACCTAGAACGCTTAGTTTATAAAAAAAAGAGTGAGGCAGTCTCTTAAATTTTAGTCAGATTTATAAATTCATCTTAAACATTTTTCAATATCAAATGTTGGTCAAACATCATTTTGACAGTCCATCTTTTGAAATACAAAGTCAATTCAGCTCAACTTGACTGAAAATATGACCATAATGTCACTTTAAAATCATGGTATTGTTTTTCTCAAGTTCGATTTTCTTAAAATATTTTGGCTTCATCTTCAGCTTTAAATAACTTCTTTAAAACAAAAACAAGAATTCTTAGTAAAAAGTACAATACGAAAATTTCATAGTACATCATTTTTTTATTATATATTTTCTTAGAATACAATCTACAATATGAATATATATCTTTTTAAGAAACTAGATAGTAAAAACTTTATACAATATGAAGGAACAATGAAAGAATTAAACTGGTACATAATTTACCTCGGCAATATTTTACAGAGTTTATGACATTACGCTCAAGTTAAGGTTAATTACTTTTATAGCAGAAATTCATTAACATTTAGGAAATTTCTACTGAATTTTTACTTTTAATAAAAGATTGCACAAACTTAGTTTGAGAAGCTGCTTTGCCTATTGATTGCCAGACCTAGAAAGTGTTTCGGAAAATACATACCATCCTGTGTAGCTAGCTCCTCCTCACAGGAAATGTCACACCTCCTAGCATCTATAGGACGACTGTTCGGATCACACTGTTCACTCCTATCACCATCGTGGGTTTTACACTCGACCTGACGTCGTTGCCATCCTTCCTCGCAACGGCCAGCACACTGTATAAAACAACGAGCAATGCATCAAACCATATAAACAACGAGCAATGCATTAAACCATATAAACAACGAGCAATGCATAAAACCATGCTAACAACATGTTGTGATAATTGCTTAGAACCATAAAAAACAACGATCAATATGTAGTATATTAAAAAATAAAAGCTGAAATGAACTTTTTTTCAGCTAATGCACCGAAACATTTTTTTTGTAATTCTGTGTTAGAATATTTGTAGAATTAAAAGATGAGAATGATTCTAAATAAAACCAAATGACACGAAATATATTTTTTTTAAACATTAATTAATGTGCTCGAGTTATTTCATGCATGAACATCTTTGATAAGGGATAACCTCTTTTGACATACTTTTCTTCCTTAATTTAGGTCTATAACTGACAAACCACTGTGGCTGGTGGCATGTAATTGTGTGCCATGTTGCTAGCCTACCTGAGTCCAATCATGGACGAACCACTGAGGTTGGGGGCATGCCATTTTGACACATGTGGCAATGGTTGCAGGCTTTTTACTCGTCTCACACTCGCTGTCGTCGAGATACATGCCTTTATCGTTGGTCATACAGTACACATGGCGGACCATTTCTCCTCGGCCACATCGCTTAGAACACTGAAGAAAAATAATAATAACAATAATAATGATAAATTATGATATTATTAACAAATTAACAATGATACTACAACTACTACTACTAGTTATAATGATAAAAAAATAATAATTATAGACCTAAAGATTATAATACTAATGATAATGGACTTGATAATGATGATGACGATGTTGATGATGGTGATGATGATGATGATGATGATGATGACGACGATGGATTAATGTTAATGCGCATTTTTTTCACTGTCAAGTGTAAGAACTGAACTTCCATTATACATTCTTAGCTTAACTATATTAATAGTTTTTTTCCGTTAGAAACATTTCATAGTACAATATAAAATTGAACACAATTGTGATATATAAAACACGAAATAAAACAAACAATATTAATGCAAAGTCAATTATGTATCTTTTTTTTGACGTTTCAGTCAGCGGAGCCTTATTGCCGTCACACAATCATGGAAGCCTTATTGCCGTCACACAATCATGGGAGCCTTATTGTCGTCACACAATCATGGGAGCCTTATTGTCGTCACACAATCATTAATATCTTCGTTAAATCAGAAGGTAGGAAGCTGAAACCTGAAACCAAGTGTGATATAATGGATGAGCATATACAATCCGAAAATATCAAATAAATATACAAATACACTTGCAAGAAGAAAATAATCTTTGGGGCTATATATTTTCATGACTCACAGGACATTCTGTCACGTTTGCAACCATTTGACTTGCTTGAACCAAATGTGCAACCACTTCACGTCCTGCTCCTTGTAATTAGAAGATATATATTTTTATCAAATTAATGTCTTAAAGACGTTGGATTCATGTATTGAGCATGTCCTTTTTATGATTACCTCAAGACTTTTGAAAATACTTTGTAGAAACGAAATATTACATACTGTATAAATCGGACTTTGTACCAAATAAGTACCAAACAACCACACATTTACGCTTTAAGTCTTTACAAAAACGATGAGTTTCTGTATTTCCACATTCTTTATTGCTGCCTCTTTACTGTCACGTGGCACTAG